AGTCCAAGGGGTCTTCATGGAGTCTTAGGTCTTCGTTTTTGGGTATTCTTATTAGCAGGTTGTTTACTGTAATTACTTTTTTGACGTTCTTGCTGCCATTGCTGTCATCGTCGTGGCTGCTAGCGCAAACTCTCTCACGTCATATGCTCTAACGATCAATTTTCCACTGTTCTCGAACAGCAGTGGATTTCAAATAGGCAGAAGCTTGCCCAGTTGCGGAAAAGGTAGTCTCCATCGCGGCCCTCGGGCCGTAGTCACGTATGGAGTCTCCCAGTATTCCCAAGCGTGGGAGCGGGGAGCTACGAATTCGTTTACGTGGGATGCAGAGGAGACCATGGAAAAGGAGATCTGGCTGTTGTGTAAAATTGAAATGAAAACCATTCTGGAGAGAACTTTCTAATAATGATATATATGTCAGTATGGTAGTTCGACTGGTGACCTCGTTTGCATTTTTGTTAGAGGAAGTTATTTTAAAAGTCGAGTGATAATATGAACAGGTAGATGTTTTCTGATCGTCACAAATGAAGATAAAAGGAGAACGAATGTCGATGGATCCGACACTGCAAAATAGATATAAAACCCGTTTGTCAATAAAATAGAAATACCTGTTGGAACCCAAACAGCTAACCAATATGAATGCGGGTAGAGGGAATTAAAATAAGTGGATAGATCAAAGTGGAAACGAACCTAACTGATCCCTAAATGAATAATACCAGAATGAAATGGTAAAACAGAAACCCTTTCGAAATTCTTAAATGATTTGGTGCAAAGAACGTCATTAAAAAGCATAAAGTATGATAATGATACTGATATAAATAATTTATATTAATATGTACCCCACGATTTCGATTACTAATCTGAATTTAAAATGCGGCTTTTTAATTATTCATCTGGGTGTGCAATTAGGAAAACAGGAACATTTTATGGTAAACTGAATTTTAGTTTGTCGTCAAGGAATCAGCAGAGGAGTTGGAGTCTTAGCAACGGCTTTCAAGGCCTCCATGAAGTTGCTCGTTTTTCTTGCGTGGATTTCTTGAGGGCTGTGTGTTCTGGTGTATGCTGGTATGCTTTTGCGTCTACCTTGAAATAATGTCTTTAAGTTTAAAAGTTGTTAAAAGTATTTGGTCAGCCGCTACTGTTTATTAAGATAGTATTAGCAGCTAATCAAGAGGAGGCTAATTACGGTTTCTAATTTCGGCTAATCAGGTTTCTGCCGGTTTCACCTATGTAAGAAGCCTGGCAGTCGCAGCATTTGATCTCGTATACTGCTCCCTGTCTGTCCTCCGATTTGTCTTTGTCCTTGTCTTTGTCTTTGTCCGGTTTGTCTTTGTCCTTTACAAAAACGACTATTTACAGAAAACCGACACATAACGACCGATTACTAGACCAGTCTTCGTACAACCCGACCTGTCACAAGGCTACTACTATCCGGACTTTGAGGAGACGAGAGCAACTAGTTTGCGACTCACCTGAAGGCCTACAAGACGAGACTGATTATCTTAACAACGTTTTTAGTAAGAACAATTACAACACGGACTTTGTTAGACGAAACACTCTTTGTAATTTATTTATTTATTTAGTCACTCACAAAACCTTGTACAACATGACCAAAAGTTGTTAATTAAATTAATATATAGATTTAGCCAGGGCTAAAAGCGAAGCTCTTACTAACTCGAATTTATAATTTAAATCAAATAATTGTAAACTTGTATTCCACAAATCAGTTAACTTTAGAGCACATTCATGTGACTTTTGAGGGAAAGGCTAAGTAATTTTAGGGAAAATAATTTGCAAACAGTCCAAGCTAAGAGTGAAATTAATCTTCCATCGACTTGATAGCCTTATATGTACACCTAAGAAATATCATAGCCATAATGGTTCTTGATCACAGTACATTAGACCTGGAAAACAAATTCTTGGAAAACAAATCAGGCCGAATTTTTTGCGTTCGACAAGTTTACTTTACAAAATCTTGCCAACAAGTCTGGGGACGTGCAAACCAACCTTATATACTTTTTTATACATCACATCTGAGGTGAAATAGTAACATGAGGCGCTATTTTTATCATACAGACCTCGGACAGAATGCAGTATTTCACAATTTTGCAATACAAATTGCACTCATTCAATATTCAGGACGATCGAGGCACGCGTTAGCGAAACCGTTAAAAAAATTTCGAAAATCACCTATACGGTGAGGCGGTTCTCACTTTTGATGACAAGCGCCAAAGTCGAATGTTTAAATCAAGATTAACAGAGTTATACGCTTCAACAGTTGATGTGATGTCTTACAAGATTTTATCAACTTAATAAACGTAGATGTAGATGTAGATAATGGCTTTATAACGATGTGTAATCTTCAAAAGCGTTTGATACGCACGGCATTTTGACTACTCCTGCAAGCGATGTTCATGAGCAACTGAAAACAAACGGCACAGCGATTAAAATTGCAAAAGAGACTGCTAACAATCAGTAAAAGGAAAATAATTCAGTGAAACATATACAGAGACAACAATTTTTATTCACGAAGACAATATTATTAAAATGTCTCTGAAAATCCTTGTTTATGTTTTACATTCTCAGTTTCTAAACCATAAGAAAAGATTTAATTACAAGTTGAATTTTTCGCTATTTCTCTTTCACTTTTTACATTCAGTTCATTTTATTTGCCGGAAAGTAAGCCTTAGAAATTAAAAGGACGTTTGAGCGATTTACGCTCGCGCATTCTAGTCGTTTATTTGAAACTTTATAACGGAAGGACATCTGTGAGCAGGGAATAAGTCAGCACAGAATTTGATTGTCGGCGAATTTCTGTAATCGTCCATCGTTCTGCTAGTGATAAGCTAGCCGTTGTTCATTCGTCTTGCTTGTTTAGGGCTGAGTCTTTTTCCGGTCAAAGAGAGAGAAAGAGTGTCTGGCAAGGTCTCCAATATAAATCAAAGGTTTGTGAACTCGTGTCTGGCAAACTCTCCAAGTCTTTATATAAACACCGTTAAATGTACCTTATAACCTCATCTGCGCTTAACGAGTGTCCTTTGGTCCATAACTTTCAAAACAACTGCTCCACAGAATGTCACTGCGTAACGCAAAAGAGTTTCGAAGTATGACTGCCCAATAAATGTCACAAAATCTACCTGAGCGGTCCCTTCGGGATTTTCTGTCTTTACGTCATCTTATCCATTTCGTACTTGCGGGCGCAAACAATAGAAACGTCATCATTACCTACCGATTCCCCGCGGCCCCTGTTCAAGCAAATCGAGATTTTTTCTATATTGACTGTATGACTGTATATTTCAACTGTAAGTACTTTCCTTAATATGCGCGGGAGTTACTAGAGTGCCTCCTCGGGATTTCGCCTTCTGGGCGAAATCCCTGCGGGGGCAATTAAGTATCATGCATGTAAATCATAGTCAAACTACCTAGCTTCCATTCGTGGGTCGTGGGCGTTAAATTAATTTACATTCTAGCTTCCATTAGACGACCGTAGGTTGCTTGACGTTTGATATTTAAAATTTGATATGCGTCACTGACGGGCGTCTAAAATTAAAACGGGACACTAATTAGCAGCAGCTAAATTTGTTGAGACTGTTGCCTAGAGATGGACATCGAGAGATACTGACAACACATCACTCTGCAAGCTGTTGCAGGAAACTCGAAAAACTAATTTAATCGAGACTAATAGTAGAAACTCGTAAAGAAAGTTTTACAACTCAATTGTAAAACGCAGTTAATGGAGCGTGACGCCCGTTAAGTTTGTTTCTTTCGGACCTACCTGAACTTGTCCGATCCGGCGCGTCTAAATTAGCGCCGGGGAGATAAGTAAGGTTTTATGGTCACGCTATGGAAGTCGTCCACCACGCCGATCGCGGAGCGGTATTCCCCCCATTACGCCATCTGTTTGTTGTCTTATTTTATTACACTTTATTGTAAAGTCTAGCTAAAGGAACTACGACATTAACTTCGTGAAAACTCGTAAAACTAACCTCTTAATTTACTTCCCTTTGAGCCGTCTTTTTAAAATTATTTTGTTAAGCTTGAGTTTTTTATTGTTTCTTATTCCAATTAGTTGTTTGTTGAACGATAATGTCTTCGCTTAAATTTTAATAATAGTCGACAATAAGAAGTTAAAAGAGCCATGAAGATAAGAATTCCTCAACGGTTTAAGAACAAAACAACAACGCTGAACGTAAAAAAGTCTTTTTTTGTGTACACTGTTCGGTATAGTCACTGAACGTCAAGGCATGAAATTTCTTAATGCAACGCTTAATAGTGCTAAAAAACGTAAACAATTGGTGACTGTTTACTTTCTCTACCTGAATTTTTTAAATTCCGTCTCCACGAAAATTTACCGGCTTCAACTTCCTAATAGACTAGGATGCATGCCAGCGGTTTCAGGGTTTTGTTTGTCACAATATGGTCTTGGGAAGTAGAGAGAAGCTTGAGTGATTTGATTAAAAGTCGGTTCCTTTGAGCTTATAATTGCTACTTGATACTATTTCACAGGCTAACTAAATTCACTCCAGATCACCTAGTGGTCTTTTTTTTGTGCTATCATTTTATCGAAATTAATATCAATGAGGGATGAGCTGGGCGAATGGACAATTAAGGGAGAACTTCCAATTCATGGTGGGAAAATGATTGAGTAACACTTCATTTTTCTTTCATCACTGAGGTAGGCACTAAAGACGAAGTTGGGCTGCCGAAGCTTTCAAAAACCTGTCCCTATTGTACAAAATAAGTTTCTAGCATATTTAGTTTATGTCATTCAAACAGGCTTATTTCTTGGCGGTTTCTTCCTCAGTACTTATGCAAATGTTCGCCCTTGTGTATTTTTGCTTTTGCAATGAATAAGAGAGGAAATAAATGATAAGAAAAACTAGCTGCAGACAGATCGAACTTCTTTGGATGTTCCAATATTGTAAAGGATCATAATTTGTCTTTAATAAAGTGTTCTTTAGCAATTAGTAAAACACTTCATATCTATATATTTTTTTTCAGCCATGACTGCAAGAATAGTTTTCCGTATCTCCGTCCTGGTTCTCCTGCTTTACAGCGCAGTAACTCAGAAATGTCCTGGAGGTGGTCCATCCGAGAGATCCATCTTGGGCTGGATGTTACAGGGACACGTGTACGACACTCTTCTCGCTGAACGCCCGTTTACCTGCGTATTGAAGTGTCGAGAAGATAATCGATGCCAAAGTTTGAACTGGGTTATCTCTCTTCTAACGTGCGAATTAAACAACAGGACAAAGGAAGCCAGACCTGAGGACTTCATTCCAAACCCAGACAGATCTTACTATCGACGTGATTTAGAACAAGGTGAGCCTGCATAAAGTAAAAACTATGCAAGAGTAAAATTAAAGTAAACTGATAAAATAAACACTGCTTTTAACCTTACAGTTCCACTCGGCTCTATTCAAGAACTACCAGCTGAGTCTTGTGACGAAATAAGGAGAAGTGAAGGACACGCTGTCAGTGGGAAATACTGGTTTTCCACGATAAAATCTGGTACATCCGTTCTGGCTTATTGCAATATGGATACCACCGGTACGTTAAGCCTTCGACCGATGAAAAGTAAGCCTGGACTAGGCTCGTCTCCGTTCGCACCCCCGATTTTTATTATTATTATCATTATTTTTATTTTCTATTTTCTGTTCTTTTTCCCGCCTTTTTCCCCCCTGTGAAGACTGGCCTCAGACAAACAAAAAGTCAGTATCACAACATAATTCGAGGTTACTTTTCCGACTTCGGGCATGCACAACTGTATCCGTTCTAAGATAATACCACAGATGAATGATGTTATAGGATGACAACGTAGTTTTGTAGGTTTAGAATTTTGTTGTTATTTATATTATGTAAAGCGCTTTTGGACCATTGGGAATTTTTATAGAATGACAATGTAGTTTTGTAGGTTTAGGATTTTGTTGTTATTTTTATTATGTAAAGCGCTTTTGGACCATTGGGAATTAGCGCTCTATAAATACTGTATATTATTATTATTATTATTAATATTAATGACTCATAGCTTGAACTTTTGTATAAAGCCTCATAAACTAAGTTTTGTTAAAGCATGGGCTTAAGTTACACGCACAGGGATAGAAAGTCTGAATTTTTTTCTTATACCAACCAAATAGAAATCTCACCAATGGTCCTTTTAGAACACCCTATATTCTTCCCATAGCAGTTTAGGGATATGTGTTCCCTTTTCAGATGTTGACGAATGTAGTGCTTCTTCTCCTGTATGTGACAGCAATGCGAACTGCTCCAATACTCGTGGATCGTATATCTGTACCTGCAGGGCAGGATATAGAGGCGATGGAAAAACATGCCAAGGTAGGTTTGAAAATGCCAGGTTAACACAGAGGGTTAGGGAAGTCTTTTAATCTTACATCTTGTGGCAACAATGAAAAAACTTTCCTAGCAACCTTTAATTTTATCCGACAATGGCGGCTGTTAAGAACGGCTATTAACAACAGCCGTCGAATTTTTGTTTTCGCAGCCACGTGAGATCATGCCTTGGGCTATGTTTCGTACCTTCTGTACTTACTAGACTCATTAATAGAAAATCATGAAACAAAATAGGCAAAAAATTAACAAATGATGGAGAATATTTGATACGGCCTGTGTAGAACGCCATGACCCACTTTAATTATACCCAAAAAGTGAAAACAGCTACAGCAAATGCAGTAAACTAAAGCTACATGTAAGCCTACAGGGGTGGCCAGAAAAAACCTCTCCCAAACAACCTCGTCGGGGAAAAGACAAGAAATTTGGGACGGGCAAGGCACAACTTACTTCGTTGGCTGCATAAAAAGTCTGCACAAGTGAACAAAACCTAGAGACTGTATAGGCTGCGCGTAATATCCCACAGGTTTATTTTATAATAGTAATACCAGAGTTTAATACCACTGACTCCTAGAAGGAACTTTTGTATAAAGCTTCATAAACCAAGTTTTGTTAAAGCAAGGACTTAAGTTACACGAGCGGGGATAAAGAGTCTGAAATTTTTCTTTATACCAACGAAATAAATGGCCAGAAAAAAACCTGTCCGAAGCAACCTGTAGGGAAAAAAGACAGGAAATCTGGGGCGGGAAAGGCACAGCTTACTTCGTTGGCTGCATAAAAGGCCTGCTCAAGTGAACAAAACCTAGAGGCTATACAGGCTGCACGTAGTAATTTGCAAACAATGCACCAGACGTTGTGCAAATGAATACTGGCTTGACCTCAGCTCTGTGCTAGCATTCAGTTTGCTTTTGAGACAGGTAATACCAAGGCTATGTAGAAGGAATCAACCAGGCACTTGGTCCTTCTCAGAAGGAAACAGCCCCCTTCAAATCTGCTACAGGCGAGATAATTATCCAGGAAGGAGCGCAACAGAAAGAGCGCTTTGTAGACTATTATTTTGAGCTGTATGCCAGAGAGGTGGTGCCTGAAGAAGCCCTGATGAACGTCATAAAATGCTAACCTGTTCTGGAGGAGCTGGATATTGAACCTACAGAAGAGGAGGTGAAAGAGGCCCTGGGTTCGCTTTCCTCTGGAAAAGCGCCCTGTCAGGACGGTTTTCCAGCTGAAATCCTGAAGTGCATGCAGCAAAGACGATGCCTTCAGCAAGCTCTACAAAATCCTGTCTGTGCTGGCAAGAGGTTGAGGTACCATAAGACATGAGAGCGGCAAACATAGGGACCGGAGAGACTGTTTCAACTACCAATGCAAGGCATCACACTCCTTACCATCGCTGAAAAACTGTTTGTTCAAGTTGTCCTAAAGTGTCTCCAGGTGCTTGTAGAGGGAGTTCATCCAGAGTCACACTGTGGTTTCCATGACAGACGCTAAACTATTGATTTGATATTCTCCACCAGACAATTACATGAAAAATGTGGGAAACAGAGACCCCACTGTACATCTCATTAAGTGGCCTCACTAAGGCTTTTGATCTAGTAAGCAGAGTTGGGCTCTTCAAGAACCTCCCGAAATTTGACTGCCTAGCGAAAATCCTCGGTATCATCAAATCTTTTCATAATGATCAACCTCTGATACCTTTAATATGGTTCCCACCTTATTTGGAATCGTCTTCGTCATTCTGCTGAAACACGCCTCTGGACCTTCAACTGAAGGAATGTACCTCCGCACGAGATCTTATGGTAAATTCTTCAGCCTCACCAGATGGAAAGCCAAGACCAAGATTCGTGAGAAGCGCTTACGCAACTTCCTTTGCGCCCATGATGCAGCGCGACCACACACTCTGCGGATAAAGTGCAACAACACATGAATCGCTTTGGCTCTCCCTGCAAGTATTTCAGACTTACTATCAACCTGAAGAAAACACGAGTAACTGGACAAGATGTCACCAGTCCACCTAGCATCAAAATATTTGACCAGCGGATTGAAGTTGTTCATGATTCTACAACCATTTGCTCTACTTGAAGAAGAAAGTCTCTGACTCCGCGATATTGAGTTAAACAAGAGAATAGAAAAAGAAACAACCACGGTGTTTAGCCATTCAAAGAGAGCAACAAACTGACCAAACACACCAAGGTCATGGTATATAAAACTTGCGTGCCGAGCACCATCTCGTGTGGTGGCGATTCCTTGACATTTCGTGTCATCGAGAAACGCAAACGTAAGGAGGTTGAACTTAGTTTGGTTGGTTGTGAGTTGTTACCATTCATTGGGGTTTTCGTTACCAATATGAAGCTCAAATTTGGCGCGGATAAGATACATCTATAACACATTACGTTTATTGGGTTAAATGTCAGATATCGGTCGTTGCTATGGTTACATGCAGGGTTTCAAAAAGCACTGACGACCGCCGAAACGTGTCAATTACTTTGCTCGGAGAAGCCGGCTACTTTTTTCCCAAAAGAAGAAACAACAGGTTTTAATTATTTCGTAAAAAAAGCTATAATAATATCATAAAATATAAATAAAACGGTAATGATAATATTGCATAAAGGTATGCAGTCTACTTGTATTTTATGTTTTTATAGTTAAGAAAATGCGGTGTTTTAGTCATACCCCGCAAGCTAGGGACGTTTTGCTTAACCCAGTGACGATGGATTTTAATAGATTAGAGCACCTTATTTTTGCCTAGCTAGGTGGTTCGTGGTTTCAATTTTATAGCTATGCTTTTAAAAGTCGACAACAGTGAAAATAAATTCAACAAGAAAACGAGGCTGAAAGTAGCAGCCATATAAATTCTGAGAAACGCACTCCACGAGAAAACCAACATGCTCATACATCTCCTTAGACTTCTCCAAGATACTTTTAGCAAAGCCTTGCCGTTTGTTTGCTTGAACGTTTGAACGACTATTTCGGAAAACGAAACCTGTGCAAATTTCTGTAAAGGTAAGTGTACTCGAAATAACCGAAAGGCAAGTTTGGAACGCTGTAACTAAATTAAAGCGAACGGCTACAGGTCCTGATGACATCCCTTTCTGGGTCTGGAAGGATTATGCCGAACTATTAACGACAGTTAAAACTCAAGTCTGGAATTTGCCGCTGTCAACTCACAGCTAGCTGGACTCTTGGATCAGGGCGAACATCAACCCCTTACCAAAGATCGACCCCATTATCGCCAACGAGAATTCTGACCGGTATAGAAGCATCAACGTCACGTCCGTGATCGCAAGAACATTCGAAAAAGTTGTGTACCACACCCATGTTAAAGTGGTTATAGAAAAGAACCTTAGCCCCACCCAATTTGCATGCAGGCAAGAGGGTAACTGCACAAACGCCTTATCATCTATTCAACACCATGTATATAGACACCTAGACAACAGTGACTGTAAGGCACTTCGTTTCTTTACAATGGATTTTAGCAAAGCGTTTGATTCCGTAAATCATAGCAAGTTATCAGCTAAACTTAAGCAGCTACCCCTCAATCCTTACATCGTTAACTTGTACCATACAATGTAGTTTTTTTGTTTGTTACGCAACAGCGAATTTTCTACAATAATCAACTCTGTAACTGGAGGGTCGTTAACAAGGGAACCGCCCAACGAAGCGTAAGCGGGCCTTATCTGTTTAATATATTTTTGAATGACCTAGAAATTTCTTATAACAATGTTCCTGCTCAATTAAATATGCTGATGACTTTCCAGTAGTGTCTCCTGTTACCGTAAAGTTCCCATAGTAGCGACCCTTGTTACTTTCGGGGTGTCGTTACTCTCGGGGGGTCGTTATTTGCGGGAACCAAACACCATAAAACAAAGTTGGCGCTAGCTCTTTCCAACAACATTTTATTTGTGTTATATGGTATAAGTAACAGAGATACACGTACTAAATACAGCAATAGTCAGATTAAAAAAGAGAGCAATGATTAAAAAATGAGAAGGAATTCATTTCTCCAGTTTCATACGACGAATGATAATTTCAGGCATGCCATGTTGTTGCCTTGTTTTAAAGTGCCGTATCATGATAAAGTTGTAAGTGCACGAAGATATTTATTTAGTATTGTAGATTAAAAATTTGACTATGGATTGCAAATAGAATAAAACAACTGATAAAGGCATTCGGTATGTTTATAACGTAATTTAAAAAAAAACTTAGTCTCGATACTCTTTGCCGGGTCTCGCTACTTTCGGGGGGCTCGCTATTTTCGGGATTTATAAGAAGTCACTAACTTTTGACGTTACTTTCGAGGGGTCGCTACTATGGGAACTTTACGGTAGTTATAAATGTGATCCGTCTGTTAACTTGTGGAACATGTCTACAGAACATGTCTTGCAATCCGTAAAAATGTAAAAAACTTACCTTCAGATGATAAGGCAACAATTCTCAATAAAAACCCGTATTTGACGAGTGTAGCTAAATGTCGTGGCTCGTGGGTACGTAGTGGGTAGAGGTTGTGTGTCGTGGGTGTGGGTAAATGTCGTGGGTAAAAAAAATAAATAGCAAAAAGTTGTAAAATTCATGAAACGAAAATCTCCGTTTACATACCAGGAGTCCTAGTCCCCTTCCCCGCGGTCTGCAAAGCAAATAAGCGAATCCTTTAGTACAAACGGACACTAAAAAGACATTTAGGCGAAAAATAAAAGAAACTCTGTAAACTATGTAAACCTGAAGCAGGCTAAACAAAAACTGGAGACTAAACTGCTCTTTCTCAAAGATGTCAATATTCGTGACTGAAACGTCCTTTTCAGTTTATGGAATGATGTTCAGAATCGTTACAGCAAATATTTTATTAAAAAAAAAAATCAAAACAAAAAATAATCGAGAAAATTGATATTTCCGCACGGCAATAAAATTTACATACAGTCTAGCCTTGACTTGAAAGGTTGAGCATGAAAGTGGTTCCTTCGTAATCTAAGAGACCTAAAACGTCTTTAAGAAAGACTTCTATCCAAAAAAAAATATGAAATAGCTCAAATTGTCTTTTTTTTCCTCACTTCCCTCCCCTTTCCCATTGATTGCATTCTATCATGTTAAAAAATCTCCTCTGATAATTGGGATTGTATACGTAGATAGAATTAAGAGTAATTATAGTAAGCAGCTACAACCAGCCTAGGGCAGGAGGTTAAAACAGCTATTTCCATTCAGCGAGTCAGAGCTGTCCCATACTTTCTGCAAATTGCACTTTTCGACATACTTTACGTCTGTTTCGATTATTTCGCGGTGATCGCTCAGACATGGATAAATCTTCATCAGTAACATGTCTTTTATACAGTGATGTAGCGAAAGAGGACCCAAGTCCCACGTGGCTAAGAAAATATCAGGAAGAAGACGAAGAAGAAGCCGCGAAAAGTCGGACAATCAAGGAGTCGAAGATTTTTGTTTCATAAATATTTTACATATTTTTCTACTTTTTTTTTTAATTACTTTACTTAATCATTTTTTTGTATACTTTTTTTACCCACGACATTTACCCACACCCACAACCCACGACATTTAGCTACACTCGCAGTTTTGTCGTCCTATGGAAATAATACAACAGGAGTATCGTAGATAATCTGTGTAAAGTGCCAGCGGGAAGTTTTAAAATTTTCGAAATGGAAAAAATTCCGGAAAAAAAAATGTAACGAAGGCCTAAGAAATCAGTTTGGAGAGTGCCACTTGACACGACAGAAGCGCTGCGCTAAGGATTCTCAGGCCGAGTCAGGTCTAACAGACGGACTGAAAAAAAATCCGCTTTGCCTTAGCAGCTTCAGGCTTAAGAAGAACGCAGAACTCACATTTGCACTGAAGCGATTGATAAACCGACATTCAAAGGACACAGCATCGTAACGAATTTTAAATCATGCTTCTACCAAAGATGTGACAAAACTAAGGTTAAAGAATTCATGCTGAGTACAGCGACACATTGTACTGTGAGATCGCGTAAACTTCAACTGTACGGAGATATTAAAAGGCGATATCTTAGATAACAGCAGCTGTGGAAAATTATCATAATTACTTTTGCACGAATCTTATAAAGGAACAATTTATTCAACAGGCGGGAATACGCGCGTCTTGACTATTGCATAAAGGTGCTGCTAAACTTACACATTTTTCCTTTACTGAACATAAACTGTACCGAGGCGTGTCTTGGTCCGCTACATAGAGGCTATATCATCGTTTAATTTTTAAAGTGTAAAATCCCTGAAAAAGTTCTCCTCACTGAAGCAACAGGTAAAAGATTTTCATTTTTCGGCCTGGAACCCTATGTGAGTTTTGCATCGAGGCAAATATAACTCTTACCCTCCCCCCAAAAAACATTTTTCATTACTTCACACTCACCGAAGTTTCAAATTTGCCGCCTCGGTAGTCATCGGAATTTTGCATGCGTGAAGACGCCATTGTTTAAACCATTTCAAAAATGACCAAATATGGTCAGTTTTACAACAGAAAACAAACCCATTGTTTTCGAGTTTGATCCGCTTTTCTTGATACTAATGGTGACGTGTTTAGCAGCACACACAGTATATGCAACTACAATTTGGTCCAATGATGGCGACGTCAGCGACAACAAATAATGAATTCGCGTTCTTTTAATCGTGATTATTATTCATTCAAAGTATTTCCCCGATTCTGATTGGCTAAAAGAACACGTTTGATTCACCATAACCAGTTACTGCTGACCAAATTGGGAAGAATTTTGTGTTTAGCGAGGAAATGACGTCAAAAATGTAGCGAGTTGCGGGTTAATACACCGTTAACCGAGAAGACCTGGGGACGAGGTTGAGTTGTTTTGGTTGTGAACTTAAAAAATGGCGGACATTTCACTCGTTTCAAGAGTAAGAACTAGGCGAAAAAATAGCTAAAAACATGGCAGGAACAGCAAGAAGACAACTCGAAGGGCGACATCCGCTACTTGGAGAATATTTGTGGAGCTGAACAACCCTAAACGTGCACTATCAAAGATGAACTTAACATCGATGAATCAATGGAGGTAAGCATGTTTTAGCCATGTTTTTAAACTAGGAATTATTTTGAGTGAATAATGAAACATTTATTGAATTCGGCTTTCATCTCATATGAAGAATTATGGAGATCTCGGAGGGTGTTATCCGCCTCGACCTACGGCCTCGAAGGATAACACCCTCCTCGATCTCCATAATTCTTCAAAAGATACTCAGCCTCATATATTAATTGTTAATTATTCCATCTCGCTAATACTAAACTTTCGAAGTCAGAGTATTATGGAATGCATCCAAACTTAAAAAGAGAACGAAAAATTGGTCATGTTCTGTTTACCTTCTCCCAAAAAGCGTAAATTAGGAAATTTTACGTCGTATTCGATGTACAACACGAGATTAATTGTGAGGATTTATAGTGTGTGAACAAGCTAAGATCTTTGTACCCTTTGTTTGTGTGTGTGGACTGAGTAATCGTACGTACATTTATTATAGGTGCGCTTACACACCATGGTCAAAGGTATTTGCCACGTTAGCAAAGCCGTGGTAAACTTTAACGTGGGTTTAGTTAACCGTGATAATGTGCGGTTACAAATGAATAATTTCTAAGGTAATTTAGACGCCTTTAAGGCTTCATTCGCCCTTTTGCGGTAATAATCGCCTTCAGTCATGGCAGTATTTCATGTTATGTTGAAAATTTGTGGGTAATTTAGCTGAAATTTCAAGTTATATGTTAACCCTTATAATTTAGCGAAGGTACATAGCATTTTTTTTTAATCCTGACCCTGATATGTCTTTTTGCAATTACATCAAATGGAAACTCGGAAACAAATCCAAGCCTCAGATGGGATTCCAACCCATCGTGATCTAGTCGGATGCTCTAACCATTGAGCTACTGGAGACTCGATGGCCAAGGCGAGTAAGGCCGAAATGTGTTTCTTTTACAGTTCAGCTGCATCCCACTTTTCAAATAGACACATACATACATATTAATTGGCTCGTCCCCACAAGGCTTTTCAGTGTCAATGTTACAGCAATAATATTAAACGCAGAAAGCCAAAACACAAAAAATAATTAACTAACTGTAGGAGGCATCCAGGGAAGTCATCTAAGTTGATGCTTAAAACTTTTAACGGATTCTCTTAGCTTGAGCTCTGGCTGCAACTTATTCCAAAGGGACGTCGCTCTTATTCGAAGGACCTTTGGCCACTAGCAGTGCGGAAGAGTGGTATTATCAACATTTCTGAGTTAAGGTTGTCCTTGTCGAAACGGCCTATCTTTTAACGAACTTTGATGTTAAGTACGCTGAGGCACACCCAGTCATGCACTTAAATACTAAAACAGCAAGTCGAAGGTATAGCTGTTGCTTGAGTAGGAGCCAGCATTACATGCCAGCAATAGAACATATTTTTGCGAAATATCGTTCCTACATCTGGCCCAAGAACCAGTTCAAATTTCCGCCTTAAAATGCCCCTGTTGCTTCCATCTGAAAGTAAAATCTGTCATGTCAACATCGATTTTTCTCTCAACAGCGTGAAAGAAACCCGTTTAAAAAATGCAATTTTTTGCCTTTTCATGTTGATGTTAAATGTAGAAACCTGATTGGCTCTCTTGTCTTGGGTATCGAAAAATCCTAGCTATTCACCACGTTAAATATCGTGGGCGGTTTCTTTCTCTTTTTGACTTAACCACAGATGTAACAAGTTTATCTCAGGAAAGTCCGGTCACACGACCCTCGCCAATTTCCCGCGGTAAAAGGGTCATTTACCATGTAGCCTGTTCCAGGATCTAAGATAGTGGGGAGGACTCGACAATGAAAGGTGCGCGAAAAGGGGGGCTGGGCTTGAAAAAGGAGAAGGGAAGAGGAGAGAGAGAGAGAGAGCCTTTAATCATTTCTTTTACGACACTCTTCCGCCCACTTCTGAGATAATTAGATTTCGACTGTCAAACTGTTGAAATGTACATGAGTGAGGATCTGTCTCAAATTTCTCGCGCGAGTATTTCGCGGGGCGCTTATCGCTTCAGAGTGTAAAAAGGGGGTCAGTAGGCAACACACCACTCTTACCTCGTACCAAATGCTGCTTGTTCCAACGAATTTTTTCTTCTGGTGTGTAGATTATGCTCTGGAGGGTTCTACGTTTAAACTGAGCAAATGTGATTTTCGCCGCCTTTTTTCAGGCTGAGAGGTTGTGACACACATAATGACTTTTTTGCGGTTATTGTTTCTGGTCGGCATGATTTGCCCTCTGATGCACGACCTTTTTTGAAACGTAAAGTTCTTCTGTGAAAGGTTTGAACCCAGGAGTCATTTCATAAGTAGGTTGAGTTTGATCGTCCGGATGAACGCAGTCCTGAATAGGACTGTTGTTGTTGACAGTAACTGACGTTTCGACAACCTGTGCGGTAGTCACCTTCAGAGTCAAAGTGAGTTGCATCACGTCAGTTGATGATATAATATCAATGACCTGTCATCATTTCAGAGTATAGTATAATATAATAATAGTATAACATGATAGTATAATTAACAATTATTCCTCGAGCCCGAATTGCCTCTGAGTCAATGGCCAATGAGGCCGAAGGCCGAATGGGCTATTGACTTAGAGGCCATGAGGGCGAGAGGAATAATTGTTTTGGTAAAATCCAACTAGTTGGTCAAAAATATCGAGCATAAAAGAATTTTAGCTAGTTAAAGCTAGACTTAAATCCTTTTTTGCCGCCAAAAAGCCGGCGCTTTTCGCTACTAGTGGGCTATAACATATAGCCTAGTAGTAGCTAAACCAATCAGAACGCAGCGTTGGTAATAGACCACCAGTTGGATTTTACTAATATGCAATATCCTCTATACCCGAGGTCGTAATACATTCTAAACTCGATCCCTATCATGAAAAACCGCAGATTCTACGACCACCTTTATCTCCTTTCCCTGAGCCTTGTCCTCTTAATTACTTCAATTTACTGCCACTCATCGAAAGCAGAATAACACGAGCTCGACTTAAAGTATCAAGTTAGTTTAAATTTTACGTCCAAATGTTTTTCAGAGAAGTGGAAGAAGATCAATACTGGCCCAGTCTGCTTTGGAGCTCGAAACGACTCATATGGGGCTTTCAACATCAGAGAGAGTGGGGTCATTCATACCTTTAAACTCGTTCATCTGAGTGGGTCAATTAGATGTAACCACGTAAACCCACCTTCTTATTGGGGATGTGACAATCCCTCGCATGGAGACATGAGACTTATAACCGTCATAACGTTCAAGAACAGATCCGCTCTTTTGTTGGCAGAGTACAGCAGAGAAGATTGTCACTATTTTTATAAGATCGAAGGTGTAGGTATTAATGACTCCGAACTTCGATTTAACAATCTTCCCTCTGCAATATCTGTGTCTCTTGGAGATGAGTTTCAAATTTGGTACGGACAAGACTTAAAGGATTGTTCAGAATACAATAACAGCGGTCAGACATGTGCTGATGTTTATGCGTGGTACGCGTGAATTAAAGGATAAACAATATGCACCAGGGAAACCTTTAAAATGCAAATGCATTTCAATCTAATAGATTAAATTATGGCTGACTTTTATGTTCAGTAAGCCCTGTTTCAAAATTGTAGTCTGTTCATAGACATAAGCTCACAGCAAGGGCCAGGGGCGGATCCAGGATTTTTTTTAGGAGGGGGTGGACTCGTCTCTTGCTCTACTTCAACACCAATAAACCAACAGTTTTTTTTTGGGCAGAATACCAGTTGTATTAGAAAACCGCAGGTCATCTCAGGGGGAGGGGGGGTGCGCACCCCCTGCACCCTCCCCCTAGATCCGCCCCTGAGGGCTATTGAAACTAGAGAACCGTGCATTTTTGGCGATTAATCAAGTAGAAAGAAAATCTTTAATTAGTAAATCCAATAAAGGCAGCTATTAATTTGGAATGTATATACAGAGGAATCTCGACATAACGAACCTCTATATAACGAAGTCCTCAATATAACAAACGATTTTTTTTTAATTGATGAGGTTTTGAATTTTATAAAGCTCTTGTTTATAGCTGTATACCGAACATAAAATGTTAGAACAAGCAACCTCGTTTCCAGTGTTCTCTCTCTTACCTTGAGAAAGAACCCTGGTTGCGGCTAGTCACGTGGATCCCACGGTGGTTTTCCCTCAAGGATCTCAAGGGTGGGGTAGTGCGTATACTCTGTTTCCTAGCAGGTCCGCCTAGATGACTGACGGCAGCGAAAAACGAAAACATCAGTTAACTTTTGAACTTCAGAGATCGCGTGTTTTTAAAAACCCTACTCCGACGAGGAGTCTATTATCACAGAAAGTCACATGAACAGCTGCAACCAGAGAGAACCCTGGGAACGAGATTATAGAAGAATCAAATTTCTCAGACGTTTGCGTTTTGCAATCGCAAAATAAACGCAGCAGGTATGAAATGAGAAATGGTTATGAAGCCTGTCAGATCTCTTTGTTATATGTTTGTTTGTTTGACGGTGCACAGCGTTCAATGACATTCCTATCATTTTGCTTTTTTTGTTTGTTTGCTTGTTGTTGTTGTTGTTGTTGTTGTTTCACAACGTTGCATTAATTTATTCAATTAATTTCTTAACAATTTTTTAAGCTTCCAACTTAATCAAGATAAACTGCGGCACCGTTGATTTGATCTTTTAAGTTTGCCGGCTTTCATAACCAGTTTCCTCTACTAAGGCTGCAAATATGATGGGACATGATGGTATATGCCCCACTTGCATCCTAATATATATGTATCACATATTCTTTACAGATGTATACTGGTACAAAGTGTACACTACTTACTTAAATAGTGGATCTTTTATGACCAGTAGTTTATTTTAAGCTGTTTTCGTGTTTAATTTATCCTGTTTTCATATGTTAGCTATTTGGTCACGTTTCTTTAGACTTACAGTGATCAAGAAATGTATAAATGAAACAGAATTTGTTCATAACAAATTTGCTCACAAACTAATGACCCAGAGGGTATTGTAAATGTTTAGAATGCACAGTATGTATGCAGAATTCCAGGACCAGTTATAAGTGTCTCAAGAAAACTGAAAACTGTAATCCCTCAATCTTTGATGGCACGTTTATATTTGTGCAATAACTTGTGACTGTCTTCCTATAAACTGTTTCCTGGCTTCGTTGTTTGTAGGCCCAGATATCGTTTTTGCATGAATAAAGTATAAAATGCACACCGTTGTATTCACAGTTAATTTTTCTAGATTTTCTACGTCTGATTAATGTACAGGGCCGAGTTGTTCAAAGCTGGGTTAAAGATAACCCAGGGTTAGTGCGAAATTTGAATTCAGATTTGAAAGCTTAAAAAGCATTTTAGTTTTAATTTTTTATGTCTACATGTTGATGATTGGAAACTCTTAACATAACAGAAATGCTTTTGAAAAAAAAAAATGATCTTTTGAACACAAGAAAAAGAAACCCGGGTTAAATTCAACCCCAGGTTAATCGCTAATCGACATTCAAGCAACCGGGGCCAGGTGATTTTACCCTCGAAAACGCATCCCTTGATCTCACTGGCATTTGGTTCTCAGTTCCCGGTTGTGCTGTGTTGTCGAGCCCATTCTTAAAAAGGTACAGTTCCCGCAAAGTCGTTTTGAAAACGTAAGTGCCATTTATGACTTTTCTGCCTTTGATTGATGAAAAGTCAGTAATTTTTCGATGTTAGCTCACCAAAGCAAACCGCTAAAGATGGATTAAAATCGCAACTCAAGCGCAATAAAAATCGGTTTCATTTGGCCCCCAATCTCCTTCTCGAGTAACAACATATTATAAACAATTACACTTGCTTGCAAACTTTACTGCTCAAAAAGTTCGAATAGATAAATCGGACAATAATATCACTCTTATAAAGCTTACTTTCATTTTTTTTCAAAATGCGTTATTATCCTCGCAAAGAAAAAAACTGAGAAAGAATATATTTTTCTGTACTACGCTTTTGAACTTGGGTGAAAATGATGCGGTTCTTAATTTGGTTGCACCTATCTTTTAACCTGTTTGGATCTCGTGAATGCAAATTGGTTGGAATAAGCAGCCTATATCGACAGTGACTTAACAGAATAACTTTAATTTCTTTTATTGATGTTACTTAAGCACAGGATTCTTCATTCGTTGCCACTTTTCCTAGAAAAGTGCTAAGGCGTTTACCACAAAATTTCGACCAGAAAAAGGGTGTAATTATTGATAAGAAAGTGATGGCGCTCATCATTTTATTCTATAGCTATAAGCAAACTTAAACTTTCATTTAGCACTATATAACGCAAATGAAGAACTCTGTAAGTACATGTGAGTATACATAATTGCAAAGTATATAACGGAGAGGAAAATGTCATTGAGGTTAATTCCCGGTGAAACAATCATGTCATGAAAGTTATATACTGAGAAACGAGAGAGGTTAATTACGTTAAATGTCTTAGGTACCGTTTATTTTCCACTACTTTGACAACAAAATTCATTGCCTAGTTGGAAACCGAGGAGGGCTGGGTGCAGGTCGGTTTTTTATGGGATAAACAACACGAGACTAGGGACTCCTGACGAGACCCACATAGTCAGGAAGAGCCCATTGACGTTAGGAAAATCTTAAGTTTTGTGTCGATCGGGCTATAATATTGAACAAGATACAGCAATTTAAAAACGTGAAAACTAATAAGAAATGTATGGATTGCGGGACACAGCGTCCGGATGTCTATTCAAGCCATAGAAAACGTTCTCCGTGTTTGCATAACCTGATATAAACAAGAGAGGGTTGGGAGAATTAGAGACAGATTTAACAACAGTTTAAAAATTTCAGAATTTAGAAGGAGTTGCAGTATGGAAAACCACTGAAGTGTGACTGGTTGGCAAGAGTTGTTTTTGTCATACAAATCCTTCTAATTTTTGGCGGCCGTTGCAATCACTACTTTTTGAGATATATGGCAGAAAATTTACAGGTTTCTTAATTTTAATATGGTCTTTCAGCTCGTGCTAACAATTTTTTTCAAAAGCGAACTTTTTTCGTGTTTACCGAAGTTCATCACGTGACCAACTGATGCAAAAGACCTATTACCTCTTGGTAAATTTTGGAATGGCTGTTTCTCCTTCAATATAGGCCCGATAAAAACCAAACTTAAGAATGTTGCTAACCTGAATGTGCTCTTTCTAAGGGTCTTTTTTTATCCCATAAAAAAGGACTCGTACCCAGCCCCTCTCGGTTTGAAACTAGGCAATGCTCGTTTAGGGGTGGACCATTTGATTTTTGATGGGGGGGATTGCAGGATTTTTAGACTGCTAGATATTTTTTTTTATTGCTCCAGCCCTGCAGGATTTTTTTTTTAATCTCCCTGTCCTTGCATGATATTATTTTTAATGGAAATTTAAAACACAAATTTTGAAGTTTAATAACTTGACCATCACCAGCCACTCAAAATTCACCCTTTAGGCTATTAAAAACCACCTTTACACGCAATACATTTTTAAGTTTACATCTTTCTTTCAAAGTAATAAAGAGTTTCATCTTTATTCAGTGTACAAAGAAATGCTCGATTTTTTTTTCCTTCTTAAGAATTCTGCAAGAATTTTTTTTTTAACCAGAAACATATGCTCGATATTTTTTGGGGGATTTGCACAACCCCCATCAAAAAATCAAATGGTCCACCCCTTACTGGAGCGTGGCGGGATCGCGACTACTGGAAGGAATTCGCTGTGCAGATGCTGATCAAATGAGCATTGTCGGCCATTCGAGAAGTAGCGTCTGCGCCAAACTGGCAATAAGTTGTTTCCTTAATGAATTGTTACAAACATGTTGTATGAATATAACTTGCGTGGTGCGGGTTCCTCTGGATTCACTCAAGAGATTTTGAACTCACGCATCGCTGAACACGTTGCCACGCCAAGGAGTTATTTTTACATTGGCATTTGTTGCCCTAGAGTTGATAGAGCTAAAGTTTAACCCTAAATAGTATCAAAACGATGTTTCACGCCCCTAAGCTTTAAGGCAGAGAGATTCGCATGGACATGACTTTATGCAAGTTAAGCTTCAACGAGCAAGTACTTCTGGCGGGTAATTCTGACACTTCTCAGTTGGGCAGAGCGCTCTGAATTTGATTTAGATTTTCTTATGTTTTATTCCGAAGCTTTTTGAATGAAGTGCTATTCCATTTGAAACTGTCCCAATTCTTGCTCCCGTCACAATGGATAATGCGTTTACATTCTCCCTTTTTTTTCTCTCTGTTTACACCACTTACGGTTTCGGGACTCCATTTTGCCCGTTAATGTTTTTTCCACTCTAAAGTCGAGAGATATCGCTTTTTCGGATTCCACTAAGTAAAGCCTGTTGATCCAAAAAAATCTACCTGTTTGTGGAAAAGAGTATCATCTAGAATGAGACGAGTACATCCGAGACCGTTTTAGTCGTCGGGGCCAAAAATTTTAGTCTATTCCCCTGGGAGTTAAGTTGAAATTGAAATTTCAAACAACCAATAACAATTCAAGGA